TAAAGTGGCTTGTTAATCAGTAGTTGTTGTTGTTGGTTTTATTATATATATATATATATATATATAGAAAGAGTGATACCATTATCTGAATGAGATGCTTATATACAGCACCAGGATATAGGGTGCATTGATGTAGGTGGAGAGTGTCAGGAGACAAATATCGCCAAGGGAAATTGAGTGGGATATAAAAGACTGGAGCAAGCAAAAAAAAAATCAGTCGAGTAATAGTGTGTAAGAGAGATAAGTATGTTTGGAACTATCACATTTTTCTTGCTTTCTAACTATGCAACAAGAGCTAATAAAAATTCATCTAAGCTTGTCAATGTGTTTCCCTTGGGAATAAAGCTTGAGCTGAAAACAAAATTGACAATTCTATTTTCAGAAATCAATGAAATATAATACATCATTTGATAGATGAAAACCTTGACTTTCTGTTGATTATAAATAATATAGTATTGAACATCAGAGAGAACTATTGACAATTTCTGAAAGAGAGGTTATGACAGACAGGTGTGGCAAGAGGGGTTTGATTTTCATTTGATGGCTCTGTAATGAAATAAGATTGAATGGGTTTTATGACATTTTACTGCCAAAATATGACTGCTTCAACATTTTACTGTCATAGTAAATGACTGCCAGTGCATTTTAGTGCCAGTAAAGGGATGCAGCAATTAATTATAATGAGTAATGTACATCAAATTTCATACTTCTTGAAGGGGGTGGTAAATAGATTAGAGAAGAGGAGATGCCAAAAGAGAAAATATAACAATTCTCACACTAGGAGAAATTCAGGATTTTTTAAATATTGCTTATAAAATTAAGTACTTAAAACTTATATACTATTAAAATATGGATTATTAGATAAGTTTTATGCTATACTTAATGGATTACCATAAAAAAAAAGAATTTAGTTTTGAATGTACCCCACTAAAATCCTTGTGACATGCTTAGAAAAAAAAGATGCTGGTGAAGAGAAGCTTAATGACATTTGGTAAATATTTTCTGTTTAATTTCACATATTACAATTTAAAATTTTTACTTTGTTATAACACTATAATGATAATGAGAGACCTTTCAGTTCATCTAGGCCATCTCATTCATTAAATGAAACATTTAAAACCTGAATGTCCTTTATGCATTGCAAAGCATGTGTCACTTACCTACAACTCTCCACTCTCTCACTTTCCATGTGAATTATTGCCCAAGCATCAGAGTATCTTAAATGAGCTCTGCTTTCCAACTATAATTCTAATTTTCATGAAAGTTGCAGTCATGATGGAAATTTTGGTTGTATGGAGGTGGAAGGATAAGTATTTCAGAGCTAAGTACCTGTCTGAAATTAATTCTAATTCTAAAAATGTAAAATTCAAACAAGGTAGAATTCCCTCTGAAATATTGAAAGCAAGAATACCCACATTGTAAAGGAGATGAGAACCAATGAACATGAAAAACAAACATAAAACTACAGGACAGGAAGATAATCATCTAGACTAGAAGAAAAATATGTATCAAGCAGGGTTAGAGTAGAATCCAAAACTAGAAAATAATTTACAGAACTGACTTCGAGGGAATATGAGTGGAATGGATCAGCCCTAAAAAAGGCTGGACCTAAAGGATATTTGAAAATAAGGAATTCTTCTTAGCACCCATTAAATTCTGCAAAGGGTCAGTTTTTTGAGTTAATAATCTGTGAAGCCAAATAGGATAACAATGATGGCATAACAGGTAGGAAGAATACTATGTTCTGCTCCTGCAGTGAAAAGTTCTTGAAGAATCAGCACAGATATTTATTACAAAAGAGCATATTCCAGTGGCAGTAGCCCCTCTTTATCAATATCTAAAATGGCCAGTGAGTCACATAACCAAACAAGTTAGTATACACTCAGGGAGAAAGCCCTAAGCATCCTTAAGGATGGTCTAAATAATGTGAGAATTGTAAAATTGGCAAATCAAAACATAAAGAAAGAATAAAAACACAGATGATCCTCAACCTAGTTGAAACCAGAACATCTAGAGGTATTGGCACGAGGAGGTGGGAAATACTCCTATCAAGTCATCATCAGCCATCAGATGGCATCCTTCATCTATTTCCAAATGCAACACCTTCTCATGGAGTTCCAGCATAGACTATGAAATATGCAGAAGTGGAACGTACAAGTCCCAGTGTTTTATATAAACACACACATATATACATATAATATTAAAATACTCTTAACCTTAACCTCAGACATTCCACATATGTATACAGTTTAAGACTGAAAAAGTAACTTCATTCTAAATTATTGTACCTTAAATCTGAAGACAGGATTTTCCCTCATTTTTCACACTTTTTTGAGAGACAATTCTTAGTCATTTCATATGTTAATTCTCATTATATTTCACTACTTTTAAGCCAGAAATATTTCAGAATCCATATCTTCCCTTTATCTGATCATTTATATTGTTGAATTCAGAAGAAAAATGTTCAGATCTATCTATGACTAAACAATCTGTTTTTTCCTTTTTTTTTCAGAACTTTCCTGTTCATCCCAAAAAATAAATATTTTTTGCTAAGAAAATGTCACCCATTTCTTAATTTTCAAGCAATTCCCTTGGTTTTTATACAGTTTTTGGTTGAAACCTTGTTATGGTGCTATATCAAGTGGTTTGACTACTTCTAATGAAACACAGCTTTCAAAACAGCTATGAAGAAAGTTTAAAAATGATTGGTTAGAGCAACAATTAAGCTATCATATTATAGTAAATATATAGGTTTAAGTTTTTAATAGTTTCAGTAAATGTTCCTTTTGTTTGTTAATTGTGAAAGTACATTTGTGTTGAATTAATTAATTTTGAAGGCTACAGAAATTTTCTTCAATGAGAAGACATCAAATAACTGAGATAAGGTAAGTAAGCTTATACAGTTTAGAGATGGGTTGAATGGCTAACAAAGAAAATATATTACAAGTAACAGACATACAATGTCTGAAGAAGGTTTTGTATCATTAAGTACAAGTAACTTACCTAGACACAGGAGCATTTATACCAAACAAAACACAGAAGTCACATGACTGTCAATTACTGAAATCATAGGAAAGGTATCTTTTTTATGTTTGGTTCTTTAAGTTTGGTTTTTAATAGATATACTATGGTTTTATTCAGTTACAATGTTTGTAAGCATGAGATTTTCTTTATATGTTCCTCAAATGAAATCAAATCCTCAAAAGATCAGATAAACTTAGTTAAGTTTACTCTTTACTTAATTATTTCAAATTACAATCATGATATGCTTTAAATAAAAAATTTTATATTCTTATCAGTAATAGTAAAATGTTCTCATTATATATCAATTTATTTGATTGGCATAAGATCAATGAGGAATTACTGTATATTCTAAATATGCAAAATGATGACCACATGGTCATCTCCAGCTGACAGTAGCAATTTATTCATTGAGCAGTAAATGTCCAGATTAAATTTTTTGCAAATGTTTTTTGCACAGTGTGAAACAGCAATCTCCAGAAGTAAACCATCATAAGAAACAAGGATTGTGGTTTGTTTTAGAACTAGGCCACACTGGGTTATCTGTTGTATCCACTGTGGAGAATGAAACCCCACATTCTAGTGTTCTAAGCCTGTAGTCTGTAAACTTATCACTGTCTCCCCAGGGGACAGAAATGGAGGATAATTCAAAAAATACTTTAAAGAAAAATAAAATTAGGTGAAAAAAGAAAATTAACACCATGTTAGAATAATGCAGTGGTTCACAAAGTGATGAAGCCAGCCACTTCCATATTTTGTGTGTATGAGGGGGTGTGCTAATCATTTAATGAGCCTGTTGATTAATTAATTAAGAAATAGCACTAAATACCCCGCTCTAATTCCTAGTACTTTCTTTCTACATACCTACAAGCAGTTCCTAAATGAGACAGTTCAGAACCAAAGTTGTAACCAACATACTGTAGTCTTCCACTATCTGCCACCTGAGGAACAATTAGGTTTAATATTCACAAGCATGAACACTTTATGAAATATCAGTGATAATTTACTAAATAACTAGCATAACACACCCTAACACTTCTATTTGTTCCATAATACCATGTATACAATTTAAATCAAAATATTTGAAAATTTTTACTTTCCGACCATAAAATCTACAAAAACAAATTAACATCCAACAATCATAAGTTAGAATCTTGGTAATCCATGAACATTTCGTACAATCTCAAAATAATTCAATCTATTAGTACAAGCTTCAAGCCATTTCATAAAAGTTAAAAAATATTAACTTCAAATAGAAATTAATCTGCATACCCCATTATTCTGATTTTAGTAATAATGAAAAATAAATCCCTTATCATCTTGAATTTTTATCCTTATCCTTTTTAATAGATATTAACTTTAATTTATGATTACACAAATTTCTTTTCCTTATCTTTTTGTTTTTTTACAATACTAAAATGCTATTTTTATTTTCAAATTACCAAAGCAAAGGAAACATTTGAATACCATAAAATTTGTTATGAACTCTCAGTAAAAATGAACCCAAATTTTTCAAGTTTAACACCACCTCCAAGTACTTACCCATAAAACAACATACAGTGCTTTTTCATATTTAACTCATCTTTGTATGTAAATAAGATAGAAAAATAATTACCATGATCTTTCTTTTTCTTCTAAGAACCAGACCCTCTCGAGTTTCTGAGCTTTCATAACTTTTAAAATGTAGGTTCAGTTTGGTGTTTTGCTTCAATTTTCCATTGGAAAAGTTGACTGACAGAAAAGTAATTCAACATAAATAGTTTTATGTACAATAACAGAAAACTGATTCAATGTTAGTTCAAAACACACTCAACACTATAAGAGACTAATGTGACAAAATGTAAGAATTTTTATTTTCCTAATAAAAATCAAAATGTTTAATCACAGACTCATTAGTGTTTTCAAAATCAAAATAGTTTTAATCAAAGAGAACAGTGTCAATTCCTCATCTCAAATATTTACAATATACTGATATAAATATATATACACACTTCAGGGATACAACAAATTACTTCTATGACAAACTTGATCATCAGTTGGAGGTCTACTTATAACATTGGACTTTTGAGATAAAGTCTATTGGAGTCCATTATTCCAAAGCTGTCTTAAGGGTTTTTAGATCTATGTGAACATCAAAAGGAAAGTTGAGAAGTATAAACAACAAAGCTAATGGAAATGTTATTATGGATTAAAAATCTATGATGGAAGTCTCTACTGGTGATTTAAGAGATAAATAGGAAAACAAATCTTAAAATTCATTATAAACACAAAGGAATGCTGCTTCATGACATTCAAGTAGGGAGTCCCACAGAATTATAGTGCTTGACCATGGAGGTGTGTGAATGCAAAACCACAGTTGCGAATATATAAATCTCCATAAAAAAAAAATACTAAACTATTATACAAAAAGAAAACGTCTATAATACTATTAAATGCTTAGTTTGCACTGTTTTTTTAATGCAACTGTACTCCTAACAGCTGTAAATCTGCTATACTAAGAGCCAGCAATACATCAAACGATAGCTCTCTTAATGTTCTACTTTGGTCTTGGCGGTTTCATTGGATCCAGAAGCATTTACTATTTCAAACCACATCAAACAAAACCTTAAAACCAATAATATATACTTTTTATATATTTAATTTATTGAAAAAGCCATACAATAAACTGTGTGATCCATATTACATAATGCATAAACCAATATACATACTTATATATATATATCCCCAAATCAAACCAACAACAGTTCAAAAAATGATGAATTGGAATTGTAAACAAACAATACATTGGCTTAACATGTGGTTGTTGACAATTTCCATTTCGTTTATAAACATCATATGAATTAATGCGTATGGGTGTTGAACTGAAGTACTGTATTAGGACTACATTGTATCTCATCTTGTCATGGGTTTCACTCAATGTCTCAGGTTACCAGGTAAAGCGGTAATTTCATATCAATCACTGACATTTCGTTAGCATTGTTCCAGTGAGACAGTCATGTGATGCGAAAAGTCAGTTAACAGGTATGATTATAGTTTTTCCTTAATTATTATGTACATAATTGAACAGTACTAACACTAACTGTAACACAAGTAACAGTTACACCTAAGTTACAAGTTACACAACGTATACTTGCTTCAGTCAGTTATTTATTGTTAATGTAGTATTACAGCGTTAGTACTGACCACTGTTGTTAGTATTACTTGTTAAAGTATGTTAATGTTATTAATATTATTGCCAATGATGATTATAATTATATCTTTGAGTTATAAGCTAAACACTAACCAAGATATGCGCCAGAGCTTCTGTCACTTCCACCAATATATTCTAACTTGCATTTTTCATGATCTTTCACTAAATTCCCTCCAGAAATTTTCTCAATACTATGATTATTAGTGATCATATTTATAGATTTTAATTTTACATAAACCAATACAGATAAATAAAGACAACAAAGATATAATAACTAAATAAGCCTAAACGTGTTAAAACTACAGCGTTCTCCACTTCTCCCCAAACGTCTAAAAATAAAAGTCTAATTATATAATTTAGAATATTACGATTAAACTAAATTTTCAAGAAATTTTAATCCACCTTTATTTTATTTATTTTATAATTACTAAATAGTTATTACAGGCTCCTACACATTTTAACTAATACTTTTACGGGATTAAATATGCTTTTTAAATTATTTAAGTTAATTCATTAGTACAAATATTTGAAGCAATTTTTGTTCCTGCATACACCAGCTAGTAGCAATTTGAGGCTACTTGATTGTACCCGAGGGAAAGGGGGATGCAGTTCTGTTTAACCAAATAAATATTGTAAAACTTGTACAAGAACAGAATAAGGAGGATTAGAAACACAGACTTTGTTATGAAACATGGTTACATTCCTTCAAGCAATGCTAGTACGTTGAACATTATTGTTACGACAGCGGAGGTCACGTGACTCTAGTAACACGTCATGCGCTTCTCGAACGCTCACGTCCCTTCCTGAAATCTCGATAGCCTACTAGATATGCGGTAGTCTTGTATATTTGTTTGTTTGTTTTTAATTATGCACAAAGCTACACAAGGGCTATCTGTGCTCTGCCCACCACGGGTATCGAAACCCGGTTTCTAGCGTTGTAAGTCCGCAGACATACCGCTGTGCCACTGGGGGCTGTCTTGTATATATAAACCGGTAAGAACTGATGGCAAGAAGGTAATGGGTACTTGAACTTCGGACAGAGAGACACGTATGTTGAGTCGAGACCGTGAGACGTTCGTTGTGAATTATAGCGTTTGTTATAGCGTGACTGTGGAAATTAAGTGTATTGCAAAGTTGTATTTAGAAAGAATAAACCAGTTTTATTTAAGAAAGGACTTGTATCGCTAAAGTTTCTTCGAAAAAGAATTATACGGAAAATTAACTAACGAACGGAGGCATAACAAATTGGTGTCAGAAGTGGGAAGGGAAAAAATGGAAACGAGAAGTGGCAAATCAAACTATAGCTTAGCAGATTTGATGGCAGCAATACAAGAACAGCAAAAGAAACGAGAAGAACGAGAAAATAAACAAGAAGAGAGATTACAGCAGTGGTTGGGGGAAAAAGAAAAGAAACAAGAAGAAAGACAACAGCAGTTGCAAGAAAACTTGCAACAATGGCAGCTCGAACAGCAAAATAAACAAGAAGAAAGATTACAACATTTGTTGGAGGAAAAAGAAAAGAAACAAGAAGAACGAGAAAAGAATCAAGAAGAGAGACTACAGCAGTGGCAACTGGAACAAGAAAGGAAACAAGAAGTATAAATGGAAAACATTAGTAAATTTCAAAACGAATTAAATGCATTAAAGGATGATCTATTAACCATCAACTTAATCAGCCCCAGACAATGGGAAGCCCCTTCCAGACCCCGCAGCTAAACCCTAATACAGACATCTTTAGTCCTGTTAGAAGTCACATCCCAGATATGAATGTC